ATCCAAAATATTATACAAGTAGCGACACCATTCGTTAAATAGTTGAAGTTTGTTGTAGCTTCGGTTGTTGCCAAAGAAATAATGGTTGTAACGACAATTGATTAGCCTTTCAACTTTCTTTTAGTGCTTTTTCAACGTAATGGATTTAATTATTGTCATTTATTACTTAAAAAAAAATCTATATATGGGATAATACATTTAAGTGGTTTTCATCTCAAAACATCATTACGACGTTGTTTTGAAATAATTGTTCCGTCGGGGACATGTATACACTATAATTCGATCAAGAAAACTCGTTTGATATTCATTTAACGCGCCAAAATTCACGTTTAGTAAATTAACTTCTTGATTTCATTTAATATAGTGATTTTAACGTGAATTTCAATTGAGATATTTGTGTGCGGCCGCACTTTTCATTTATTATGACAAATTATACATTTTCACGCCTAATAAATTCAATGATTTATTACCATTTCAATTGAGACTTTGTCAATTTAGATCTCATTATAATGAGATCAAATTTAATTGCAACTGTCTTTTAATCAATAGTTTTACATAATCGCAAGATAATTGCCAAACGAACAAATTAAATTGCCATTTCAGAATTATGTGCAGACAATTTGCTTGCTTAATTTTGTGTGAACAATTTTTTATTCCTTCCGTTTCTGCTCAAAGAAACGACAGTTTACAATTATAAATATCGAAATATTGATTCAATTGAATATGTTTGAAGTACTCTAAGAGCGAATGTTCTTTTCCTCTTCTTCCAATCGAAATAATAATGCTTTTAGTTCCCTTGATTATCCATGCTGGAGGGGTGGACTGTCATGTTTCCACCGATCTTTGCTAATCAAATCTCTCTCAATGCATTTGAATTTGCAATCATGTCTAATTTTACCGATCTTGAACAATTTTTATCAATCTTTATTCATATTTTCATTAACAAATCTTTTCCAGTCACAAATCTTGTGTCAACCCCTAGTACGTAGGTTGCTCCATAATTTTTTTTAAAATGGTACTTATAGTGTT